CCCCCCCCCCTCTTTCCTCACCTGACAGTGTGGTGCAAAGATAGTCAATACAACAATTTAACTTGGGAGTTTTGTTCCAAATAAGATCTGAGTAGGCAAAGAGTATTTTTCATCTCAGACAGATCAAAACCCTTTGAAGGGAAGAAATTTCTATTTCTGGGTTGAGAAGGTTTCAATTTTATATAAAAGCAATTATAGAAGAATCTATCAAAGGTGGAGTCAGGAGATTTTGTTATGTCTGGTTTCCGCTAAGGCAGTTTCAACTGTAAACGATTCTGTTTCCACAGAAGATCGTGGCATCTGACGAAATAAAATGACTGACTGTGGGACGTTAGGGCATGTACCACAGCTAGAAAGCAAAACACCCAAACCAACTTACTCTCATTTCCTTTCTCTGTGGGAGATGTTTGCTCTGCCGAGTTTCTTTCTGCCATTTTGTGCTGAGTGTCAACAGTTAGAGCAGCCTGAAAGTGGAAAAGAATATAAGCTGTTATAGGAGAAAGATTCCTCATTATTTTTTTAATTTCTTAAAAATAAAAAAACCCATCTTGTATATCGTAAATGTATACAATGAACTCATAAAGTCAACTTCAACTCAATGAAATCGCTTGCAGGACCATCAGCTTCTATTTATTGATGCACTTCATGAAACTAATAGCAGACTCACATTCAGCTATATTTTTTTCAGTACAAAAAAAATATTTTCCTTTTAGAGATAGTTAGCGAATATTTACATACGACGTCTTATAATCAAAGGCAACTGACTACTCAATTTAATTTGTGCTACACTTTGTCCCTGAGGATCCAAAACTGTGCCCATTGAAGCATGAATTGAACCTTCGTCACAAAGGGGCTATAACTATAATCAAATCAATGAGTAGGCTAGCTAATAATATACAGCATAAAAATGTAGGCTACTTTATTTTATAGAACATGCAAAGAGGCCAATATATAGATCTAGGCCTAATACTGAGGAACAATAGATCTATTATTAACTTTATATTCTTTTAAATAACAACCACTGCTCTCACCACCTCATGAATCAAGAGACAATCGATCCTAACGAACGAGTTTTAGGCTACACTTTATAACTTTTTTTGAGTCATAATTAAAAAACAAAGATAAAACCTCTACACCCTGCAGTTAAAACCAGTAAACAGAGGTTTTGTGATTGTCCAAAGAAAATCTAATTATGGCAATCATCTGGCCGATTTGTTTGCAAAGTCCCAACAACAACAAAAACTTTAGATTTTATTCCAGACTCACTCGCCACTGACCTGGGTTCTTACGAATTGTTATAAATTGATGTGCGTAGTCTGGGTTTCTGAACGAAATCAGATAGATCTAGATCTAGATCTATTTCAAAGATCCAAGTTTCAAGATCTACTCAGATTAAGTACGACTGAGCGATAGGCACCCTTCTTCTTCCACGACGTGCATATACTCAGTAACCGGTACACACAATTCTCAAAATCAAAACTTGGTCAACTTGACACTTGACAACTGACAACATGAAGCCAAAGATGAATAACTCTCTTTTCTCTTTTCTTTCTCTTTGTGATTTCCTCTCCACAAGAGTTCTGTATGTCGCCGAAAGTTTGTACAATAATATAGTATAGTAAAATAAAATGCATGAAAATGATGAAGCCTGCTGATAAAATTCCAAAAGAAAGCCTCACAAGGCATAGATTCATAAAATCACAATAAATAAACAATGCAATTTGGGGTAATTTAGTAAAATTATTTATATAACCATGCAAATGTGCCACTGACCAGCGGGGCCTGTGGCGCAACGGATAACGCGTCTGACTACGGATCAGAAGATTCCAGGTTCGAATCCTGGCAGGCTCGGAATTTTTTTTCTCATGAGATTTCTTACAAATATCTTTGTACTATTTGATTTTTTTTTTTTTTACACGTTAGTGTTTTTACTTCTAGTGTATTTTGCACACGTATAATATATTTTAGTTAATTAAATGGATTTATATGAGGCCTATAAGAGTTTTTAAGTGTTATTTTATCGAGAGGAAGCCTGCCTATAACAATAGACCTACTGGCAAAATCCTTAAAACACATTTGTGTGGCTTCATCATAGCTACATAGGCAAAGTACAGGCTGTGTGTGGCTATATGGTTATGGTACCATTCCATAGGCCTATTATCTAATTGAGTAATTTCTGCAAATGTGCCTAATGGGTTTGTGCACGTGAGTATGTATTTGAGTGTATGTATTAAGTGTGTGTGTGTGTGTGTGTGTG